CTGTTGGGGGATCTGGGAACTGCACAAACACTGTAAATAAAGACACTTGGACAATCCAGCAAAAGAAGGCATGGAAGATTCTTTATTATACCAGCCTAAACACAGGGCGCAGGCTCAAGAGGGAGGAATCATAGAATCAGAATATGAGGGTTGGAAGGGACCTCAGGAGGTCATCTAGTCCAACTCCCTGCTCAAAGCAGGACCAATCCCCAATTTTTGCCCCAGATCCCTAAATGGCCCCCTCAAGGATTGAACTCACCACCCTGGGTTTAGCAGGCCAATGCTCAAACCACTGAGCTATCCCTCCCCCAGGAAGCCTGCGGATACCCTGTGGCAGGGCCCTAATAAGAAAAACTTGTAGAATTAAGCCAGTCTCTGAATTTGCTATGTGGGCCATTGTCTTTAATCTTGACCACGAGGTATTGTGTGCTTCACAAAATCCAATTGCCTCCCCAGGCTAGCAGGAAACAGTTTGTCCCTACCATGAACATAGGCCTCCTCCTGGGCCTTGCTATTTAAGGCACCTGAGCATGAGGCAAAGAGCAGTTAATCCCCATGGAGAAGGCAACACCTTCCAAGTGTGTTTGTTCAAAGGCTCATACACCAATATCAATTGAAGATTGATTTCTTTTAGGTATTTAGTTGTGTCTAGCACAAGGTATATACCATGAAGGCTTGGCCATTAATCTAGCGCACAGGAAAAAACTGTTTTTTTCTGCCCTCATGCACTCATGGGATGTTTGCAGGGCTTTTTTGCCACTGCAGTTTCCTCCCTCACCTCTCTATATTCTTACTTCAAGGACATAACATACAGCAGATTAGGGCATGAAACCCAGGTATATTAATGGGGGAAGTGGGAGATTTGCAAATAATATAAGGTTCTTAAATAAAACAAAACTGCAGCCTTTTTCCAGACCGAGGCCCTGATCCTACAACAAGCCATGCACAGAGAGACGGGCCTGTCCACCCAGAGCTCATGGCAGGATCACACCCTGGGTTTTATTTCTAATCACACCCGCAGGTTCATTTTGTCTTAGAAACTTGCTAGTGTTGGAAGGTGCTTGAATTTAGCAGTCGCCGGATTGCACTTGGATGTTTGCCTTGTAGCGCAGAGATCTCTCTCTGGTGGGTCTGCTCTCCCTGGAGTGTGCAGAACCATTTACAACACAACTTTGTTCTCTCAAATGCCTCTCAGCAGAAACGTGATTTGCCTCTGCTCTAATGTCTCCTGCAGATACTGTGTCAGAATAGCTAGCAGAAGGGTTGTAAGGAGCAATGGTTTGATCCTGAATTGGTTTCTATCTGATTTTCATATCATGCTTTGGACGGATTCTGGATCAAATTCAGCCTTTCTTAAACAAGCACAACTCCAGGGTTCAATGCGCTCTCTTAGGCCAGGACTGAATTCGGCCCATTCTGTGCCGCAGGAAATAAGTGGTTTAGACGCATTGAAGCCTGAATCGGAGGGCTTTCTAGATTGTTTTGTTTTCCTTAGCAGTATAGGACCGTTCGTGTTTTCCATACGTTTTGTAGTCTGAGCTAGCCAGAGGGGCTGGATTTTATCGCATAATCTATCAGTGAGTCATTCTCCATCTGTGATTGTTACATCCACATTCCAGTTGCTTCCTTCTGTGGTGGCATTAGTTGTCCCCTGCAATTTAGTATGTTCTTTTACTTATTTGTTTAGTTTGAGACACACAATTATATGCGGCTCATTTCCCTTTTCTATTTTAATGTAAGGTAAAGTGGGGAGTTATTCTAGTGGTCATGAAAAGTGCTGACTGACAGCCACAAAGGTAGAAGTCCTCGTGTAGTACAGCACTACAGGTAGTGGCAGTGTAAGATCCCCTACAACCACGCCTCCGCAGTATTGCTCTGCAGGATCCACTGCTAGCAAGGCAGAAGTTCACTCTGCAGGACCATTCATCCTTTTGGCCATTCTGCTGAGGACTCAGGTTGTGGGGGAGATTTGGTGGAGCGGCCATCTGTTCTCTAGGAATTGTGGAAGACCAGCTCATTTCAGATTGGTAACTGAGCAAATGGTCAGAAGGTAACAATTCATACGCAGGTTTCAGAGTAGCAGCCGTGTTAGTCTGTATCTGCAAAAAAGAAAAGGAGTACTTGTGGCACCTTAGAGACTAACCAATTTATTTGAGCATAAGCTTTCATGAGGTGAATGCCCTCATGAAAGCTTATGCTCAAATAAATTTGTTAGTCTCTAAGGTGCCACAAGTACTCCTTTAATTTATACTCGGTATAGGCCTGAACTGACCTGATTTCCTGAACAGCTGCTGAATACTGCTGATTCCCATGAACAATCCACTGAGCTATCTAGTCTCCTAACAGCTTTCTCTTCCTTCTTTATCACTTGAGCAACAGCGGCAAAGAACAAGCACCTCCATATGCCAACATCCCACTGCCTCTGCTCCAGTGACACCCCCCAACACACACACCCACATACAGCAGCAACTGGCAGATGGGCACAGGCACTCAGTTTCCTTTCTTCTCCTCTCAGCCCAGAACAGTCAATCCGGGGACTGAGATTTTGAAGAACTTTGGCCTCTGGTTCCTCTTTGGTAGCCTGAAGCTCAAAGGCTGAGAGCAGGTCTCTCAGATAATGCATTTCTAAGGGATATTCCAGCAAGGATAGATCCATTTCTGAGGGAATTTTCCTCCATGAAGCAGTCTCCAGTTCACCCCACCCCACCCGAGGAACTAGAGTCTGATCACAAGATAAAGAACATGTGGAGCTTGGATGCAGTTGGAGGGTACGTACTTCTCCAGGGTCTAGGCCAAGGAAATTGAGAAACAGAAGCTCCAAGTCTGCTCAGAAGCTCAACATCTCCTACAGCAGAGGTGGGAAAACTATGGCCCGGGGCCACATCCGGCCCGTGGGACTGTCCTGCCCGGCCCCTGCCCCGCTGTGCCACACCGCCGTGTGGGCAGTGAGGCTGCAAGCTCCTGCCACTCTGAGCGACATGGTAAGGGGGCGGTGGCGGCGTGCACGCAGCAGTGCTACAGTTGGGGGCGGGGGTCCTGGGGGGCAGTCAGGGGACAGGGAGCAGATTGGATAGGGCGGTCAGGGGGCGGGAAACAGGGGGTTGGAAAGGGCGTGGGAGTCCCAGGGGGGCCTGTCAGGGGGTGGAAGTGTGGATAGGTCTAAGCAGTCAGGGTACAGGGAACGGGGGGGTTGGATAGGGGGTAGGATCCCGGGGGGGGGGAGTGGTTTGGGTTGGGGGGTCCCAGGAGGGGGCAGTCAGGGAAGTGGGAGGGGGCGAATAGGAGGCAGGGGCCAGGCTGTTCGGGAGGCACAGCCTTCCCTACCCGGCCGCAGTGGTGAGCTGGAGCCGGTTCGCTAGAACCAGTTGTTAAATTTAGAAGCCCTTTTAGAACCGGTTGTTCTGCGAGGGACAACCGGTTCTAAAAGAGCTTCTAAATTTAACCGGCCCAAAGTGGCACCTTAGGTGCCGACTCCACAGGTGCTCCAGTCCTGGAGCACCCAAGGGGAAAATTTGGTGGGTGCAGAGCACCCACCGGCAGCTCCCCGCCGCACCCCCGGCCCCAGCTCACCTCACCTCCGCTCCGCCTCCTCCCCTGAACACGCCGCCCCACTCTGCTTCGCCGCCCCCCCAGGCTTCCTGCGAATCAGCTGTTCGCGCGGGAAGCTGAGGCGGGCTGAGAAGCAGGAGGCGGCTTCCCACTCAGGCCCAGGGAGGTAGAGCGGAGGTGAGCTCGGGGGGGGGCCGGGGGCACGAGTCGGGCCACCCATGCTGCAGCAGGTAACCCGGGGTGGGGGGCGCGCAGGGGAACTACTCACCTCCGCCACCGTCGGCCTGAGCGGGAAGCTGTGGCCTGCTTCTCAGTCCTCCCCGGCTTCCCGCCGAACAGCTGATCGCGGGAAGCGGGGGTGGGACGGGGGCAGAGAAGCAGAGCGGGGCGGTGGGTTCAAGGGAGGAGGCAGAGGTGAGCTGGGGCCAGGCGCGGGGTGGGGAGCTGCCGATGGGTGCTCTGCACCCACCAAATTTTCCCCGTGGGTGCTCCAGCCCCGGAGCACCCAGGGAGTCAGCACCTAAGGCGCCACTTTTGATGTGATCAGTGGCGGGAGCGACAGCTCCCCCTGCTCCCCCCAGCTACGCTTCCCCGCCCCTAGGAGCCAGAGGGACCTGCCGGATGCTTCCTGGGAGCTGCCCCAGGTAAGCACCGCTGGGACTCCCCACCTCGTCCTCCGGCAGGTGCCTCTGGCTCTTAGGGGTGAGGTGGGTACCCACTATGGTGGGCCACGAGACCCTCCTGCCCGGTTCTGGGGGCAGTCAGGGGCCAGGGGAGGGGGGTTGATGGGTCAGGAGTCCTGGGCGGGGGGCATCAAGGAACGCCGGGGGTTTGGATGGGGCAGGAGTCCTGGGTGGCGGGGGTGCACAACGACCCCCTCGTGGGGTGAGGAGGGAACCTGTTGTTAAGATTTTGGCAGCTCATCACTATCCGGCCCTCCATACAGTTTCGCACCCTGATGTGGCCCTCGGGCCAAAAAGTTTGCCCACCCCTGTCCTACAGGGTTATGTGCTCCATCAAATGCTTTTGAAGCTAATAGGAGTTGAGGGTGCTTGGTTTCTTGTAGGATCAAGCACTTACTGAGGGATTCTCCTTCATTCAGTGGTAGGTGGTAAACAGAAGAGCAACCGTTCTGTTTTTCCCACTTGTGTCTTTTTGTTTTTCCCCTCCAGATTTTCTTTCTTTTGTGGTGTGGAAAAAAACAGGGCATCCTCTGATGTATCATCCATTTAAAATGTCAGAACAGTCTTCATAATTTGCCTCCTTTTTATACAGCATATTGGCAAATGTAAAAACACAACAGTTGAGATTTCACAAAATAATGTTTGTAATTCAGGTCCAGGCCATTTCACAGTTTGTGACATTTTATTTTGCATAAAGTGTTTGCAAAATAATTGGGAGAGTCAACTATCAGTGAAAAAAATCTGTATTTCCACCTCCCCCTTCTGCAGTTACATGTGGTGCTCCGAGTAGGATGTGTCGGTCTGGTGTTTGCGTGCAATGCTGTCATGTGGACCTTCTTTGCAAAAGCCCTGCACTACTCCTCTTCCTCAGCGACTGCCACGGTGACAACAACAGCCTCCAACTTCATCTCTTCGGTGAGTAGAACTGACGTCATAGATTTGAAGGCCAGAAGGGACCTCTGTGACATTGGAATTGCCAGCCTGGATCAGACCCCCAAGGGTCCATCTAGGCTAGTATTCTAACTGAGACCAGCACCAGATACTCCTAGGGTGACCAGACAGCAAATGTGAAAAATCAGGACAGGGGCTGGGGGGTAATAGGAGCCCATATAAGAAAAAGACCCAAAAATCAGGACTGTCCCTATAAAATCGGGACATCTGGTCACCCTAGATACTCCAGAGGAAAATGTAAGAACTCCAGATTAGGCAGATGTGGGATAATCACACCAAGGATCATCTAGTCTGATCTTCTACATGACACAGGCCATAGAATTTCTCCTAGTAATTTCTGTAGGGGAATTATTCTTCCCTACTACATAACCGAACGCTATCTTGCTCAATAGCTAGTGGTTGGTTTAGTGTTTATCATAATTTTCTGATAGGTGGAAACAGACTGGCCTTGTCACTGTGCATGCTTAAGACCTGGAGAGGAGAGACACTGTGAAGGTTTCGCTTTTACTTTGCATCACTCTTTACCAAGCCCCAAGCCAAAACCATGATGCATTTAGGAATATGGGGTGTTTTACACTTGTCCCTGCTTACCTGTAACTCTTCAACTGATATATTAATCTCTTTTTCCCTTCTTTAGATAACTCTTGTTGAGTTTTTAGCACTATGGGCTTGGTCCAAAGTCCAGTGAAGTCTTTCCGTTGACTTCAGTGAACTTTAGATCAGTCCCCTTGTTTCCAGAAAGATATTGATCATAGAAAATATTCAGAGATTACTGAGGAGACCAGCAAAAAAGATCAGGGTCTGCAGCATTGATTTGCAAGGAAGGTTTAAAACCGCTCATTTGGCCAAGAGATGACTTAAATACGAGAGGTGACATCCTGGGCACACTGAACTTGATGGGAATTTTGCCAAGGAGAGAGAAAGGAATTTAGGGACTATAAGTAAGAGTAATGGGATAAAATTAAGAAAAGGAAAATTAAAGTCAAATATGAAGAAGATATTCCCATCTTAATCTGCAGAATAGTGTTTCAGGGTAGTCTCATCCCTTGGGACATTTAAGAGAAGGCTTGGAAGGATCAGTAAATGTCCGTAAACGTCAATTTTGCCATACACACACAAACCACTGAAATATATTTCCATCAGGGATCATTCAAATTTACAGCTGGGCAAAGTAAGAAGAATGTTGCTTGAGAACATATTTAAAGTTTGATGTAAAGATATTTATTTTGTATATTTTGACGTGATGTTGACAGTTGTGTGTTTTAATGATTATAAAGCTTTAGCTGTTTGAATCTCAACGTCTATTGTCATTAAATAATTGTCTTGACACCCCATAATTTCCCACAGCTGTGAATATGTAAATTGGGGGGGGGATTGCTTAAAAGTCAACATTATCTGTCAGAATTATTAAAAAAACTCAAAAATCAGCATCTGCCAAGTCTTTCTTTTGTACTGGGCTGGACAAAGCAACAGGGATCAATCCTGTATTGGCTTTACAGTGGATTGGATGACCTGGTAGGTCTTTTCCAACTTTAACTCCCGTGATTCTAAGTAGCAGCGGATGTTCCTGTTGGTGCGGTTGGAGTAGTTTTGTTAGGCAGGCTTTATACTAAGAATCACGGGTCAGATCATCTAGTGGTATAATTCAGTGTACACACCAGCTGAGGATCTGCCCCAGGTTTTGTACTGGAGAAGATTTCTTTGCAACTCTGCCTTGTGAATGTATTTCTCTTTCCTTCCCTCAGGCTTTCCTGGGCAGGCTGCTCTTTGGAGAGACTCGTGCACTCTTGTGGTGGGTAGGAATCAGCGTGACACTCTGTGGACTCCTGCTGCTGCACACAGCTTCACCTCAGACAGAACAGCAGCAGTTTGAAAAGAAGGACAAATAACCTAAACCTGCTGGGTTAGTTTCTATGTCAACAATCTAATAACAAAATCAGCCTTTGGGCCTTTATGCTGTAAGTGGGTGATGCTCCACAGACTTGCTCCTTGGATGATTCTCCTTGGAATGTTGCTGTCATGGTTACAGGGCGAACTGTGCTTCGATTTCTTTTTTTTTAACTCCCTCCCCTTAAGTGACAGCCTGACTTCCTGCTCCTCACTCCGGGTGGAACCATGCAGTCCAACCAGTCTGGCTCTGAGTGTCAGACTCCTTGTTTCCCAATCACGTGTACCAAGGCCCAGCTGAGTTAGGCATCTGTAAGCCTTTTCGCTCTGGGGACCTGCGACCAGCAAAGTGGTTAAAAGTGACTCAAAACAGCTTCTTCAACACAATGCATTATGTATTCATTCCCACAGAGCAAAGAGTACAAACATTAAAAGGCTACATGCAGATTTCCCTTTAGCCTAAGCCTTAATCTTTCCTTGCCAGCTTTCATGTGTCTCAGCCAGCCCTCTTGTTTCTGTCTACACTTGTGAGAAGCTGACTGCCCCTGCTGCAATTGCTGTGTCTCTGTGTCCCCTTGCCAGTCTGTCAGCTCTCACTGACACTCCCAGGGCAGCCTCTCGCCACTCCTGTGGCCCTCACCCTTTTCTAGGCCTAGGGTCCTTCTAATGGTTTAGTATCCTCCTTTTGATCCTTGGCTTAGCCTTAGGAAGAACAATCCACTCTAGCCTGGCTGGAGTCTGGTAGGGGTTATTCCCCCAATAAACAGCTTCTCCATTGCTTCTTCAGGACCCTCATCTATGTTATTGTGTTACCTTTCCTGCTTGGATCCTCTAACAACCCTTTTGCTCTAACTCCATGGTAAGTGACCCATCATAAACACACACAGCCGTGCATTGTATTTATAGAAAATAGTACAGCTATTTCCCGGTTACAGTGTCTGTTTAGAACCTCAGAGACTGTGACAACAGGGCTGGATTAAGGTGAACTAAAGCATTTGTACTGTACCATGAAGTAGAACAACACAGAAACTGTTTCATTTCTGTACACTGGTGGCACCTAGCACTATGTTCTTGGTAAATAATATATGCTACAGTGTTGCCAGGTGGATATTCAAGGAGTCAGATGCGAACTCTTGTCTCTCCAAGCTAATGGTGCAATTCTTGTTTTACATTTCAGCAAGGCAAAGGTGGGATATGGCGTATCGAATCATTGGCCCGAACTCTGCTCCTGTTCATTCTTATGTAAACTCTTTGACGTCGCTAGGGTTGCGTGGATGTACTGGAAAGCAAGATTTGGCTAAGAGTCTGTAGAGATGGAAAAGACCTGTCAATTCATCTGCTGCAGTCTGTTCACTGACTGGGGTGGATTGTTCCCCTGTCTAGTTCTAAATGTCCCAAACAATGGGTGTTCCACCGCTTTCCTTAGAGGCTCATCACAGGATACCTCACTGCTAGGAAGTTTTTTCTATATCTTTAGCCTAAATATTACTTGCATCCTACGAGCCCCAGTCATATCTCTGTCCTATTCAACACACTAGAAAAAATTCCTCCCCCTCCTGGGTGTTTACATTCGTCATGTATTTATAGCCCGTTATCATGACTCCTCCATTTTGTCAATGCTTAACCGAGTTCCGTGCATTGAAATCTTTCCTCATAAACCAATCCCACTAGACTCCACATCAGTTTTGTTGTTGAATTTCCTCAAATGTGTCAATACTGTATCTGTCCCATAAGGTGCCCTGATCGGAGTACGATATTCCTGGTGTAGTGATATCAGAGCCTTATGGACCATGACTGTTTTTCTTTTTCTATGACAATAGAGCTGTTTGGGGTTTTGGAAAGAGTGTTAAATGTTAACAGTGGTGTCCTTTTACGTTTTCTATGAGTCGATAAGTTTACTTTGCCACTGGAGTGGATTGCATACAGGTCAGAAACAAAAAAAAAATGGAAAACAAAACGATGAAATGGGGAAACTTGGGGTCCTTAGTATTTCTGTAAATATTTATAGGCTCGTAAGAGCCAGAGCAAAAGGACCATCGTGTCTATGCTCCCTGTAAGGGCTGGCCATAATCCTTCAGAAAGGAAGGAGTCAATGGAAAGTCAGAGGAGTCACTGGAGTCAGGGGAAAGACTTTGCGTACGGGATATTAAATTGATACTGCACCTGCCCTTTGGCAGAGTATCTGGACCAAAATTCTGCACTCAGTTATACCAGTGTAAATCTAAAGAAACTTCACTGACCTCCATAGTTAGTTTGGATTCATGCCAGTATTGCTGAGTATAGACTTTGGTCCTCTAGGTTTCTGAATGTGTATAGGTTCAGTACATCACATTCTGCAGAAAGTGTGACTTATAAGGTACGTATATTCTTTTTTCACCACATCTTTTATGAAGGCAATTTTAACAATAATCCTAATTCAAAGAAACAAAGGTACAAAAGGATTTGCACCTCTGTGCTGGATATTTCATCAGTTTGTTCTGGGATCACCAGTTCATCAGTATTTCCTTGTAACTATGGGAACTGAGGCCTTTAGCCATAATTTTAACATTCTGCATGTTCATAAGAGATGGGAGGCACCACTTTGGCCAAACATTAGGGTTACCAAGTTTATCTAAAAAGAAAAGGAGTACTTGTGGCACCTTAGAGACTAACCAATTTATTTGAGCATGAGCTGTAGCTCACGAAAGCTCATGCTCAAATAAATTGGTTAGTCTCTAAGGTGCCACAAGTACTCCTTTTCTTTTTGCGAATACAGACTAACACGGCTGTTCCTCTGAAACAAGTTTATCTAGTCTTCTAGATCTGCAAGTGATCATACCAACTCTAAAAATATATCCTGCTCTTCTTGAGAGGCCCATCTGTAATGAACATTTAAAATGATTTTGGTTGACGTCCGCAAATTCAGAGAGCCAGTTCTCATCCAGGGCCCATCTGAGTCACCTGCATTATCAGAACCCTGGCCAGTGAGTATCTTTGGCTTGTCACCACTGGCAAATCTGCTCAATATCTGCCAGACGTGTAAAGGTAACCTGCAAAGGCGGGGTGCAGGTGGACGTTACGCTTGCACCATTTGTCTCTTCTTGCTGGTGTCTAAAATAGACTTGATTTGGTTTGGTTTTGTCTTTTAAATGTTTTTTGGGTGTGTGTGCTTTTTTCAGTGTGTTTTTCACATTGGAAATTCAGGTCTTGTGTAACCTGAAGACTCTCTTGATAACTGCAGAGCTAACAGGATTCTGACAAACAGAGTCCTAGGAAGTAGAAACCGACTGGCTGAGGGGGGAGACGATTCTTGTTTGCTTACATTGGTTCAAAGCTATTGAATGGAGTAGGTTCAACCTATTTAATTCAGACATGCGGAGAACATGGGAATTGCCGGGCTGGTCAGACCACTGCTGGCTCCAAAAGGGGCCAGCACCAGCTGTGTCAGAAGTTGTAAGAACTGAGCAGTAGGCAGATGTAAAGAATGGGAAGATGGCAAAAGGCTGTTTGCGAAAGTTTCGGCACTTCTGTCCTTTCCGCTGAAGGCTGAAAAAAGCTGCCTCTCCATATTTCTGAGCCATCCAAGAAGTTCTCCAGCAAGAGCCAGGAAGGCAAGACTTGGCATTCCTCAAATTTCTAAGAAAATCACAATTGTGGAAAAAGCTTGTTTACGGAAAACAAACCTTCTTGTGCCTTCATACATCATAAAGAAGTAAAATAAGAACATACCCAGTGTATATCCCTTTGTGTGCCACCTTTACAGTATTATGTATTCTCAGTCAGCTGTACGCTGTAGCCACCTTATTAAGAAGTTCAGGAGAAGACCCAGAGTGTTAAAATTAGAGAGGTGTTTATCTTTACAAAGCCTTAACCCTCAGGTTGCCAGAGGCGCTTGGCACCTCTGTCCTATGGCATTCATGTGGCTGGCAGCCATCCCTTCCTCTCAGGAGAACTATGCAGCATTGTTCTTTGGTTCCTTTAGCACCGAGTGTCCGTTTATCGAATAAGAAACAAAAAGTGTAGTTTCTGATACATCCAGATAAAGAAATTGAAAGCCAAGACTGACACGCTGGGTCAGATCCTCAAGGAGCCACACTGATTTACACCACTTGAGAATCTTCGCCTCTTCTCCTTAACTCACAACTGCCCTGCAGAAAGGGGAGGAGTTATTGTTCACATTAAATTGATCCCTTTGTTTGTTTGTCAACTCACTGGTTGACAGAATTAGAAAACAAAGAGGAGAAATAACTGGACTATGATCAAGAGGGAAGGAGGTTTAATATAATATATATTTAATATATATAGGTTTAATATAACAGTTGCCCTTTAACTAGTGGTGCAAGTAAGCTGGTACGGTCAGGACGCCATACCATTTATTGCTGGAATGCCATACTGGAAAGACACATTTTCAAGAATGAATCATAGAATCATAGAATCTCAGGGTTGGAAGGGACCCCTGAAGGTCATCTAGTCCAACCCCCTGCTCGAAGCAGGACCAATTCCCAGTTAAATCATCCCAGCCAGGGCTTTGTCAAGCCTGACCTTAAAAACCTCTAAGGAAGGAGATTCTACCACCTCCCTAGGTAATGCATTCCAGTGTTTCACCACCCTCTTAGTGAAAAAGTTTTTCCTAATATCCAATCTAAACCTCCCCCACTGCAACTTGAGACCATTACTCCTCGTTCTGTCATCTGCTACCATTGAGAACAGTCTAGAGCCATCCTCTTTGGAACCCCCTTTCAGGTAGTTGAAAGCAGCTATCAAATCCCCCCTCATTCTTCTCTTCTTCAGGCTAAACAATCCCAGCTCCCTCAGCCTCTCCTCATAAGTCATGTGTTCTAGACCCCTAATCATTTTTGTTGCCCTTCGCTGGACTCTCTCCAATTTATCCACATCCTTTTTGTATTGTGGGGCCCAAAACTGGACACAGTACTCCAGATGAGGCCTCACCAATGTCGAATAGAGGGGAACGATCACGTCCCTCGATCTGCTCGCTATGCCCCTACTTATACATCCCAAAATGCCATTGGCCTTCTTGGCAACAAGGGCACACTGCTGACTCATATCCAGCTTCTCGTCCACTGTCACCCCTAGGTCCTTTTCCGCAGAACTGCTGCCTAGCCATTCGGTCCCTAGTCTGTAGCGGTGCATTGGATTCTTCCATCCTAAGTGCAGGACCCTGCACTTATCCTTATTGAACCTCATCAGATTTCTTTTGGCCCAATCCTCCAATTTGTCTAGGTCCTTCTGTATCCTATCCCTCCCCTCCAGCGTATCTACCACTCCTCCCAGTTTAGTATCATCCGCAAATTTGCTGAGAGTGCAATCCACACCATCCTCCAGATCATTTATGAAGATATTGAACAAAACCGGCCCCAGGACCGACCCTTGGGGCACTCCACTTGATACCGGCTGCCAACTAGACATGGAGCCATTGATCACTACCCGTTGAGCCCGACACTCTAGCCAGCTTTCTATCCACCTTATAGTGCATTCATCCAGCCCATACTTCCTTAACTTGCTGACAAGAATACTGTGGGAGACCGTGTCAAAAGCTTTGCTAAAGTCAAGAAACAGTACATCCACTGCTTTCCCTTCATCCACAGAACCAGTAATCTCATCATAAAAGGCGATTAGATTAGTCAGGCATGACCTTCCCTTGGTGAATCCATGCTGGCTGTTCCTGATCACTTTCCTCTCATGCAAGTGCTTCAGGATTGATTCTCTGAGGACCTGCTCCATGATTTTTCCAGTACCGAAAATGAATGAATTGTAGAGCCCTGCACAGACACAAATTTATACCCGGGGATGTGGATATCTGCAGATAGAAATCTGTATCTGCTGAACTGCAGGGCTCTCCTGGGAACCACAGCGGCCAAAGAAGAAGAATGTGGGGCCGCCGCCCCCAGGAGCCAGCGCGCCACGGCGGCAGCCCCTCTAGCACGGCTGTACCGCTCCAAGCCCTTCCACGCAACCGCATCTCCTGTCTGCGGTCTGTACAGCCCCGCTGGAAGACAGGGCTGGGGGCGGTACAGCCACACCACAGGAGCTGGCGGCATGGGGCACTGGCTCCTGGAATGGCGTCCCCACTCCTGCTCCTTTTGCCACTGATTTCTATCTGCAGATATCCGCATCCCCAGGTATAAATTTTGTGTCTGTGCAGGGCTCTAGTCACGGAACATTTTTGTGAGCGGGGTCAGGGGCCGGTACTGTACCAGTAAGAGTTAAACTCTACTTGCACCACTGCCTTTAACATGTTTGTTAGTGCCTGGGGAAAGAGAGTGAATGGTGATGTGCTAAAATTTGGGAATGAGGCTGAATTTTTTAGGTTACTCAAGGCTAGAAGCAGGTGTTAGCTTCAGAAGGACCAAACAAAACTAGACAAAGTGATGAGAAATGACATTCCATGCAGATAAGGGCAAACTCAGAAGAAACAATCAGTATTCCTTCACATTGTGACCACTCTGAAAACAGATTTGAGTCCTCGTTTGTACAGAGCCGAGCACAATGGGGTCCTGGTCCATGATGAGGGCTCCTCGGCATTATGATAATACAAAAAATAAAAAAGGTGCCTTCTACTGCTATAATTCTTCCCCTTCCCCTGTGAGAATAGCTGTACCTGTATAAAGGACCTTTATACGAAGGTAGCAGGATCTATACCGCTGGGGTTGTACTGCTTTAACTAGACTGAGAGAGGTTTTAAAAGTGCAGCTTTCTAGTGTGGACTAGCCAAAATTGTTCGGCTGTTTTCTGAAAGAGAGGCTGTAGTGCAAGACCTGATGGTTGCAAAGCTTAGGCTCAGCCTGATCTTTATCAGTTGCTGTTTCACAGCCAACCCACAGATACTGGGCTGCTCACCCATTTGAGTCTAGCCTCCCTGGACTTGACTAGCCATAGTGTTACTCTGAATGCAGCTGCTGGGAAGCAGGGAGGGGAGAGAGAGTTGGTGTTTGAGAACACAACAGAACACTAACCTACAGTCCTACTAACACCTGGCATTTAGAGAGTGTTCTCCTTTTGCTTTGCTGTGCTAACCGAGCAGTGAGTAGTCTGTTATAGTATTGATTCAGTTCTTAGAGAAATAATAATCAATTACTTTCAGATCCTGTAAAGGAATGTGTAATTCTGTTCTGGTTTCCAAGTACGTTTAATAATCCTGATATTTTTTGTTCTCAGTGCACAGTGATTAAGGAAGAGTGCTTGCTGAATAGTAATAATAGGTCAGGCTTGACTCAGAAGCACTGAAAATATTGTATCATTTATACCAGGCATCAGAAGTCTTCAGGAATCTGCTTCTGAATGATGAGGTATTATTGGTATTGATATTGCATTAGTGCACAGAGGCCCCTCTCTGGGATCAGCACTGTACACATTCATAATAAAAAAGATGTCCCAGCCCCAAAGAGTTTATAATTTAAGTATGAGACAAGGCACAGAAGGCGGAAGTAACAAATGGGAAGGCGGACAAGGTAACAGTGAAACTATCGTGATTGGTGTGGTAAGCAGCAGTCACAGCGTGCCCACTGTCTAAAAAAACATCACATTTTTTACTATAAATATTGCAAATCTATTCATGCAATGTCTAGATTGTTTTCACTGAAAGCAAACAAAGAAACTTGCTAACCACTGAATCAGCTCCTATACGTTCCATATT